TTTTTTGTTAGCTTGAGAAATTTCTATCATTCTGGCGTTGTGTAGGCTGAGGCTATGTAAAGAAGCTATAAATATGCCTTCAGCGTTTGTCACACCGCCTAGTCTAATTTGAACGAGTGTGAAAAATGGCAAGCATCTCCATATAATGAGGTTTTAATATTATGAGACAGTAAGATGTTCTACTGCTGTGCAATGATTGACAGTTTTTACATTGTTACAAATAATCCTGATCAAAACATGAACAACTTAGTCCACTACAATAATAAGTAATCACTTATTATTAATTCCAAGTCCTACTGTCAGCTGTTCGCTCGTATTTTCTGTGACTGCATTGGCAAATTTGAATACGCTTCATGTAACTCCTAAATAGTGCTGATTTTTAACGACAGCTAAAACTCAAACCAAGACAAGCGCAGGTGGGAGAAGAATAGATCGGTGAGAAAATGTTGAATGTGTGAATCTGTATGCTTATAGCCGAAGACTGCARACCTGCCTGCATGTGTAAATGTGTGCATATTTCTTGCCTGGTGCAGCTAATTTATTCCACTTCTCACTCGTTGACCTCTCAGGGATGTGTTTTCACAGTTTTCTTTTTCTCTGACAGACTTTAGACAGTTGTTCACTGATTCTTTTTTTTTTTCCTCTCCTGGCTTCCGACTCTTCTTTCCATTTTTCTTTTTAATTACATAAACATCTTGAATGATAAAAAACGAAGCTTCTCTTTTTAAGATTTTTTTTCCCCAAGTCTGCAGGGGAGAGAAGAGTTAGTTAGCGAAAGGGTGATGTTTCAGTAATGCCTAGCCACTAGGAGGATTTAATAAAACTGTGCCTCAGCCTTGTGTGCTGTAATGAATGAAATAAAATCAGACCCAGAGCACTTGTTTAATTTGAGGCTGCCCTTCATCTGAGTGTTTGAGCGATCTAATGAGGCAGGTCAGTGAAGGCAGCCTGTTGGATCTGTTGAACTCGCTCACACATTTGCATGCTAACAGTCTCACTCGCTCATTTGGCTTTAGAGGGATAAAAGGGGGAAAAGATGACTGTTGGGATCAAGATAAATTCATACCACACTCAGGTGGTGAGGGTTTAATATTTAAATACAACCTGGATTATACAGGGTTAGTTTACATATAGTATAGCCATTTTTATGTTGGCCATGGTCAATCAGCTGYTGTGGCCATCTTGAATTTGTGTGACTCCAAAAGTTAACAAGTTGTAGACGTTTCATCAAAATCAATCCAGTGGTTTGCAAACAGCCAGGCAGGGAMAGTTTCAAGCAGAAACTCAGCTATTACTACGCCAAATGTTTGCTCAATTTCTCTCAAATTGACAGAAATATGGCCATTGCAACAAAAGTTAATTACTCTTAGAATATTTTCTCTTATTTACCACTGATTAAATGTTTTTAACACTAAACACTAAATTCAGCTAATGTGGTTATCGGTTTTGAAGGCAAGTGTCTATAAACAAGAATTGAGGATCTTTTAAAAATACTGAATTAGTGAAACTTTTATTGAAAATACATTTAATAATTTTTTTCTAATTTTATATGTTTTGAAACAAAAACACTTGAATTTGACTAAAGCCTATGCTCACTATCCCAGTACAGCCAGTCAGGGTGTTTGTACACCTTTCTATATGAGCCAGGACAGGAAGGTTTAACTAGTTAGCAGAGCTGACACTGAAACTGAGCCTGTCAAATGCAATCCGATCRTCTGGGCTGCTTCTTCAAAGGACCAGCCAAACCAAAAAAGACAATCAAGCAGCATGACCCCATACCAACCTTTTTGTTCCCCTTCCCTCCTCCTACTGCAGCTTCATTTCTGCCCTAAGATTTCTCTCCTCAGTCCCTTTCCTTTTGTTCAAAKGAGTTTGATTTCTGCTGCAATGTTCTGTGAGAAAAATAAAGCAGCTTTGAAGAACTGAAGCAGAAAAAACACAGACCCTTGAAAGAATGTGATTGAAGATTTAGCATTAAGATCTTAACAAGCTAGTTACGAACTTTTAAGCTTTCTATCCKAAAACTGGCTCAAAGACAGTATCCCTGTTGTGTTTGGGTCAGGGTGGCATAGTTAGCATACCATTGTGCTTAATATGGTTCTGTTGGACCTCATTCAATCCCAGATGAAGTGGACTTTTGAACGTGTAGAGTTACAGATTGGCACAACATTTTAATGGTGTTTGAAAAGAAAAGAGCTGGTTTGGGATGCCCAGGGTTTTTACTCTAGAAATCACCTCAAAACACTGAGAAAATGTGCGATGTAAATATAACACATGTTTGTAATAATTGTTGCACCCCTATTCAGCACAGGACCCCCTGAGGTGAACATGACACATTATAGTCTGAACTAAGAGGTTTTTAAGAATTCCAAATCCGTCTCTCTACTGTATATATTCTCTTTTTTTTGACCCACTCACATCAGAACAAAGTRGTCCTAGAGGTATTTCTATCTACACCCTGCAGTTTTTTTGTTATTGTTTATGTTAAAATATATACAGTATATACGTATATTGTGCTGATAAACCTGAGTGGTCTGTTGACTGACTGTTGTATTTGTTCAAATAATTGTTATGGGCAGGTTACAATATAAAAATGTTTGTCATAATCATGTCTTGTGATTATTTGACAGGAGTTTTACTTTTAAACTGTAAGTGTATTTAATTTAGTTATGTTATTTATGATAGTTTAGTTATGATGTAAATACAATAAAAATTAAACCAAGATTTAGAATAATTATCATTTTGATCCGTACATTGGTAATGTCTGACTGCGCCTCGTGCCACTTTACGTAATAAATTGGGCCCCGGGGTCAAAARAGTTAAGAACCCCTGGTATAGGGTAGGGCTGCCACGATTAATCGATTAATCGACGACTAATCGATTATTAAAATAATCGATGACTAATTTAATAATCGATTAATCGTTTTCTTTTTTTTGTTGTTGTTCTTTACTTTGTTTTTCTCTCCAAACTGCTTTGACACCTTCCACTGCCACATCTGCCTTTCTGTCCTTGACACACATGCACAGTAGTGGTAACTGGGGTAGGCCGTGGACGTCACAAGACATTAWACAGACAGGCTCTGGTATCATGGCTACCTGACAACGGAGCTCAAAGTGTGGGATCATTTTAAGAAAATGAAAGAGAAACCTGTACAATATCTGCAGAGCAGAACTTGCCTTCCACAGCAATTATTTTTAGTTAGCATATAGCTAAAATCTAACGATGRTTATATAATAGCAGCTGCATTCTGGCGCGATAAGCTCTATGTTTTATATTCAATTAACGTATGATCCGATTAGTCGACTAATCGAATAAATAATCGGTGATTAATCGATTATAAAAATAATCGTTTGTGGCAGCCCTAGTATAGGGTGCAGTGTGTAATTTTACAGTGTCGGTGGAACAGTTCTTGTTTTGCTTCCRCCACAAACAAAGCACTGATGGTGGGTAAAGAAGTTTCTGTGGCTTCTGGTTTTGGCCTTCATAGATGCTACATCTCATACTTCAAACATCACTTGCTAACTAATCTTACCTGCTTAGTCTTAAAGTGCATGTGACATCAAATTTTTGTGATAAATATGAATGCATTTTTGAAAAGATTATATTAGTGACGTATTGCAAAAGAAGTTTTATGACACTGAAATGGATAGTTGTTGAGATATTTGTGTGTGAAGTAACAGGAAGTGATGTCAAAGGGGAATGTCTGCATGTAAACAGCATTACTACGACAGCCGACAACACAGACTGCAGAGAAGAATCTGATTTTTTTATTACCAGTAGATTCTTTTGAGTCACTTTCAGAAAGATGAAGAAGACAGAGTTCAATAATATTGTTTTAATATACTTTTGTAAAAAGTTTCCCTTTGATGTCACTTCCTGTTTCACTTTAGCTGAGCCAAGTTTAAAAGAAAATAAGCCAGTTATGTGACAAAAAGGATTAAATCATGTGTTTTATGCCAAGTTTCTTAAATATAAAGTTGTTTTTTTTTACTTATTGTATTTGAAGTATATTCATGTCACAGGTACTTTAATCCTAATTTTTAAGTTAGCAGTCAAAAGACACCCCTTATTTATGTATCAACAAAAGGTTGTTAACTAAAATGAGAACCTTGGAAAGCAATATTTAAGCTGAGTATTCACWTTTTTACCATAAACAGACTTTACTATAAACCCATATAGCTGAAGTACTTTTAAAAAAACAAACTTGAGCATCCTCATAATAAGAAACCTGGTTTGAAATTGTAAGTGATTCCCTGAGCTGTATAGAAGGAGGTGAAATAAAATGAACAGTCAGGTATTGTTGCACAAATCACATTTAATATGAATTTTAGCACCTAAGAGCTGCTGCTTCGCCTGAATCAGCATGCCCTTTTCTTCTGCATGATAAGATTCAGAGGAATGTGTCTTTAAAGTTCAGGTACTTCATTTATGCTAAATCTAACTGCAAAGCTCACTCTGCCCGGGTCATTCACTGTCGGGATGATAGGGTCAGGAAGACCTAACTTTGCAAGCTGAAGTAATGTTACATCTTTGTTCCTTGTMCTGGAAAACTGTGATTTYCCCYTKGGRWYMAWWAARKWWTTWTCAATCAATCAATCATTGCTRCATTTATTTTAGGGGTACACAAGAAATTGGAACTTTATTGTCATCACAATTTCAGTGAGCTCAATAACAATATCACAAAGGACTGTTTGGTGGCCATTGATTCATAGGCTGGTGTATTTCATGTACAATTCATTTGTGTTCTCCATGCTTTGGCCATGCAGTGAACTCTTTTCTGGTTCAGATGATAGTGATGACTGAAGAGAATGTGAGGACTGAGGAAAATGTGGGTTTATTTCAATTGATTTCAGCATTGYTATATTACACAATAAAAAAAATCTACACTTCCCCTTTCTTGGACTGTGAGGYACACAGTATGTAAGCAACAGGTTTCTTATGAAACGGCTAACCGTACCCTCCTCTCATYTTCCGCAGGTGATGCCATCGCCCAGCTGACTGACATGGGCTCGGCCGTGCAGTCTCAGTCAGACGGCCGTGTCACGGTGTTCAGCGACAGAACGGGGATGGTGAAGGCCGCMCGCCTGCTCCTCTCCTCAGTCACCAAGGTCCTCGTTCTCGCTGATCGCATCGTCATCAAACAGATAATCACGTCACGCAACAAGGTAAATGAGGAGCACTGACATGCATACATCGTCTCTCCGACATGCAGACTCTCCTGAGTCCTTTACTTCCTCGCAGATAAGCCCTCTTAAAGAGTACTCAGGACATTTAGCGACTGTATAACACCACACAGAGCCTGTCTCTTGTTCATACCTGGCTGTGTTCTTAGTCAGACAGGGTGATGTAGCTTCAGACTGAGCCAAGCATGGAAACTGGGGGGGGGCTTAATCATGACTGGTTAGCTTTGTATGGGCAGACAGTCGACAGCCCTCTGTTCTCCATTACTGGCAAACACAATTAGATCTCTTCCCCTTCTTTGTGCAGCACAGATAAAAGCTGCTTTATTGGCACTGCCAGCTAACGTATCCTCAACAGCTAAATTAGCAGCTTGCAGGGGCTATTATTACCTAAAATATAGCTGCAGGGATGCCTAATCTGAGTACTTCATTTCAGAGTTCACCGAGGTAATTATGTCATGGATTTACCAGAAAAAAAAAACTCATTGGTTGTAAACAAAAACAAACAACTGAAATGAATCTAGGATTCCTTAATGGAAGCCGTGCATGTCAAAGGTTTAAGCAAAGATCTTACATATTTTTGTGTTTGCTAAAGTTGACCAACTGTCGTGGTCAGTTCAGTCTCATAACCTCTGTTGCATGAGAGGTTTGTGAACAGGCATTTAGCTAGATGAGTGTCTTTGGTTTTCTGACGCCTTCTTCCAGCTGATGACATCTCTGGACACCATGCTTAACCTTACGTTCACAGAGAGTTGTTGTTTTTCTACAATMCGTAAATTTCGTAAAATTGACCGCAAATATTTCATGAAGCCAGAGGAAGACACACAGAATAAATAATGTCGTCTTGGCTGTTGTTGTGCGTTGTCTTTACAAACTCCTCTCCCGGTCTGTCTGTAGCTTTACGTAAATTTTGTAAACTTATGCATATTTTGTAAGCRGTGTGGGAGGTGACTGCAGTTATTTTTTGAAGCCAGAGTGTGACACATAAAGATTAAATTAAACCGACTGGGATAGAGGAGGTGAGAAGMAAATTTACAGCTTCAGCAGCTGTCGTGTGTTGTTTTCCCAATCGCCGCTCCAGGTCAGTTCGTAACGTTTTTAAACATTCAGGGGGGAAATTATATTAGTTTAAAATGGTACTCAAGCAATATTATCATTTATTGCTATGATTTCTGAGAATTTATCATGCAGAAAAATTTGTTTTCGTGACCGGCCTGCTTCTACGCACATTCAGTGATTGCATTCTGAGCATTTCAGTATACTCTGTCCTGTGGTTTTTGAAAATAATTATCAATGCAACGTTGATGTGTGCARTATTTAGTCACATTGACCATTCATTCTAAAGCACTGCTGCCCCAGTTTCCACACATAGCCTACAATTTTCACATCCGATTACACGGTCTCGAAAAGTTTTGATGAAAAATACATTTCTTTTTGTGTGTGATGTTGTTTTAACTAATAAGATAAACACAAGTTTGTCGCTCTGCTTCTCCTGCCAGGTTCTTGTAACCCTCGACAAACTGGAGAGAGTCAGCACCTTCCAGGAATTTGTACAGATTTTCGGTCAGTTTGGAAACGAGATGGTGGAATTTGCTCACCTCACAGGAGACAGACAGAACGTGAGTAGCATTTGATAAAACAYTTTTTTTTCTTCTCCTATTTTCGCCCTTACATTTCAGTCATCAGGTTCTTTGAACATTTATCATAGGAAGAAACACTACAAAATCCTTTAGCAGCTACGTTTTGCATTATGTGCAKAGACTTTGTCTACTTGTGATTATTTTAATTTTTTGCATGAACACTGTATGAGAGCAGGTGTTAAAACTGGAGTTTAATATCTGCAGAGGCTACACTATGAAGTGCAGCAAACTGGAACCAAATCAATAATCCAAGCATAAAACATTTACACAATAAAAAAAAGAAATCAAATTAGGCTTCCATTGTCTTCTTTTTGTTTTTGCAAATTCTCTTCACTTTCCGTTTGTTTTATGAACCCGTAAAGGAACACAAGGGTCWGATGGGACTCATACTCCTCAAAGATTGTTTCCATAAAGATTCAGTGTTGATACGAGCTGACCCGTGCTTTCAGCCACCCCGCTCTCTCTGCAGCACATCAGCCATCCTGCAGCCTGTCTGCAAAACAAAAATGTGTGCTCAAAGCTTCGGGGGGAAAAACACTCCCAACTTCAGGGGGTTCAAAGTTTTGTGCTGTCAGAGGCTGCTAATCCCACTTTGATGCATATTTCCCGTCTCTGCAGCTAAAGCRCTTTGCCTGCAGAAGTTGACGTGAAGTGCAGCGGCTGCGCTATCTCGACAGGGAGGGAGAATCAACCAGCCCGCCCTCTGAATTTCGTCAGGCCTCGTGTTTTCAAACACGTCACGTCTCTCTCCTTGTTGCTGCTAATGCTTCCTCTCCTCATCTCCCCTGTTTTTTTTTATTTTATTTATATATTTATTTTTTATTGGCGGAAGGGGGTGGGGTGTTCACTCACACTCATGCACATGCATCCAGGAGCGAACATCTCTTTGGAGGAGCTACTATCTTCATCTATTGAAGCCAGATGAGCGCAGAGGCAAAAAAAAAAAGGGAATAATAATGACAGATAATCACAGCATCTTTGTAATCTTTGGCAGCGTGCCCAGAGAGAAGTTGATTCAGCTGCCTTTTTCAAATCCTGCCTTTGCATCATTCAAACTGCAGATCTTTAYGTGTGGTTTGCATGCAGAGTGACGTGAACACAAAATCTACTTTCTCATTCTGATTCTCTTTATTTCAAATGTGTAAACTGGCAAAGAGATATGTGTTATGCTGTATTTCTATGTACCAACAAGAAACTTTTAATACTTCATGTCCCTCAGACACCAAGCTGTAGCTAACAGGGATAATTTGGATCCTTTGGAATGGGGTTCTGTGGAAGCGTTATAAACAATATCCAACCTGTTTTAGATGGCTTTTTTTTTAACAAGGACACTTTATTAAATAATACTTAAAAAATCTATGTAAATAAACATCAGTTATTATTTGTTTTGTTTGTTTTTGTGTTGTAGGACTTGAAGGATGAGAAGAAGAAAGCCAGGATGGCAGCAGCCAGAGCAGTTCTGGAGAAATGTACCATGATGCTCCTCACAGCCTCCAAGGTAAACGGACAAGGAGTCAGTGATCAGCTTCGGACTTTTAACACCTCTGGGTTTTGTTGTTGTTGTTTTTAATTCCAACGTCTCCAATATGCTTAAATAATGTAAAAGTTGAGTCAGAGAATAAGCAAAACAAAAGAGAGAGAGAGTAGTGGAGGTTAAAAGTGTTGACCCTTCACATTGAATTTCTTGGGCAGACTTGCCTCAGGCACCCGGATTGTGAGTCGGCGAGGATCAACAAAGACGCCGTGTTCCACCGAATGCGCTGTGCCCTGGAGCAGGTCATCGAGATCGTTACTGAGGCACGCATCTGTGGGGAGAGCAAGGTCCTTCCCACCAGCATCTACAACAGCATCAAAGACTTTAAGGTGGCCTCAACAAAGACTTTCAGTTAAAAATGTCACGATGCTCGTCCAACAAACAAAACCACTGCTTCTCTTAAAGGGCTTATTGTGTTGAATGTTTTTATTCTTTGAAAGCTAAATGTTTCAGGAGCAGTGCACACAATTATTTTTATTAAGCTGCTTGTTTAATTACATTATTTAATTCTATGCTCATTGCGAGTCCAAACTGTGGTTGCAGAATAACCGAGTTTACCTTCTTGGTGATTGTTGGAGCTTCAGGTGTGACTCATTCTATCAATCCTCCTTTTAGAATTCTCTTAATACAGTCGTGTGAATCACTATAAAGCCACCCTCACACTTACTAATCTACTGTCGCCGTGCTGAACGCTGGCAGATGAAAGAGCTGAACCCTCGTGAACACACTTAGAGGGCACCTCATCCTCCGAGAGAAAAGACGAAGGAAGTATTTTAATGGAAAGCCCAGAGATGATTGTGGCTTTTGATAAAAAAGGCTCACAGGTTTTTAATGACAGAGTTTACTGGGAGTAATAACATAAAATACGGAAACTGGTTAACACGTTGGAGAGATCTTTGTTAATGAACGAGTTGGGACGAGGGCAAAATGCATTAGCTGTTATGTTCTTTGGCTTTTTGATTTTTGTTTTGCAGCTTTAAAGGCCTAAAATGGGGAAAAGTAGATATGAAAAAAAAAACGGTTACAATCTCCCCCTTAATTGCTTTTTTTTTGTAATTTTATTTCATTTTTTACCATCCCCCTCCCCTCCTGTAGTCCAGCGTGGAGTGCCTGCGGGAGAACCTGTACCTCTCGACGCCACCGAGCGTGGCCGGTCAGCTGGAAGCCCTGGTGGAGCGGACGGAGGACTTCACCGACTCTCCCTACACCAGCCACGAGCAGCGCCAGGCCATCCTCGGTCTGTGCCAGCTGGCGCGTCAGGACACCCAGCAGCTGGCGCACGCCTGGACTGAGGCGGTACGTTGGCACCGGCTGGAGGTCAGCTGTGCAACCGTGCATTCATACCTGCAGGAGGCTTCATAGAAAACACGAAGCCGTGTGAGGGAATATGAGCAAGCTTCTCATCTGTGACACGGTTGATTTAATTAAAAAATGCAAAACAGACGTGTTCAAAAAGAAGCTGGGAGATTGTACATTAGTGTTCAAAAGTTATGAACCAACACCAACTTCTTTATAATTAGATTTTTTTAGTCAGTCCTGTTTCCAAACTACTCATTAACACTTTTTTTTAAATGTGACAAGATGTGAATTTCAAATGACAGTATGTCTTGTGAGTGAATCTTAGCTACTACTATATTTATAAAACTRACTGAATTACAGCATTTTTTGTGCTGGCCAATGTTAATTAGCTCAGGCAACTCCAAAAGTGATTGAGTTGTAGATGTACGTCCTCTGTTTACGTTCTATGAGTTTCGTTAAAATCTGACCAGTGGTTCAGGCAATATTTTGATAACAGACACACGAACAGGCACACGTTGAAACATTATCACCTGTATTTTTGTTTTGCTTTCTGTGGCAGGTAATTAAAATGTAGAAATCTGTGATTTTAKGTCTAATTTTTAAATGACTGAATTTACGCCAGTCCTAATTTTTCCTCCCATTTTGCTACATTCTACAACAAATGGTCTTCCTTTGTTTATCATTTAGTTAATTGGAACAGGTGAATTGTTGAAGACAGCAATCATCAGCTGCTGCCTGTTAAAATACTTCTCAAATGGGAGCAATCTGCGTGCGTTTGTCTCTGTGGCAGCCTAAAGATGGAGATCAGCAGCGCTGCAGCATCCTGCATAAACTCATCATTAACCTCCTCAGTCTGTTTCCTCGCTTCTCCTGGAACAACGGAGCATAATAACCCACCTGAATAATATTAATGTGTTTTTTTTTTGTGGTTTTGTTTTTTATTAACGGAAGCTCAGCCAGTCAGCCGTCAGGGGAACAACATGCAGTCTTCTCTGGCGTTCAGCAGCGTCTCCTTGGYCTTAAAAAGTGACAGACTTAGGAAACACGAGCCTTTGTGCTGCAGCTCCTTCTCACTGTAAACTTCTCCCGGCGCCTTCAGAGAGCCCGCAGCTGCATAATTGTACAGTAGTGCTTCATCTAATCCTCGCAATTGAAGGTCGCGCTGAGACTTGAAAAGACTCGAGTGCTGTGGTGTTGAGAAAGTAGAGAGATAGAATTTGCAAATATTATTTCTACCCAGGTCTATCCGTGCGTTTATATTGGTAGGTTTGTAGACTGAAGGTTTGTTTTAGTTTCAGTTTTATCCCAACTAGTCTGAAATTTGGAAAATTGTGGCACTGTGTTTGTTGAGTTACATAATTGGGTTTGCACTTTGATTGCACAAAATGATACGAGCCTTGCATACTTAGGAGACAAAAGCTCACAAATGTCAGTCAGACCAATTAAAGCTYGAAGTTCAGGTTATTATCATGTGTTTAAAAGGAATCCCGACTAGCTGTAACATTATACATTTTTTGATAAACATTTACTTAAAAAATAAAACAAAAATTGTAAAAAATATTGTCGGCTGTTTAGTTTTTAAAAATTTAAAAAAAATTATTGTCACACCAGCTAAAACCACGATCTCCCGAGCTAACTCTATTAGTTTTGCAACTAAAACTACAGGAATATGTGGTGTTAGTTAAGATACTATCGCTAACGCTATAATTAAGTATTAGCTTGGGCGCTAATGCTTACAGTAATATTATTACATGTCAGTGACATCACAGTAAAAAAAAAATTACATCCTGCTTTGCAAACCAGGGCAGGAGCAGCAGCAGCTTTGCGCATGCCTGATTCATTTGCAGYGGCCTCCTCTCAGCTGACTGCAGCCGGGGTGCAGCGAGGCTTCAGTGAGTCGATCCGCTTGTCAGCTCTTTAGAAAGGGGCTCACCGCAAAACTCGCTGCTCACTAAGGAAAATGCTTGGGAAATGCAGTCGCCAAAGCCTCCAAAAGTCACCAAGAACATCTGGAAAAGACACTAGATTTGTCGCTAGTTGCTTTTCGGAAAAAAATGTCGTTATAGGGGTCTGAAAACTTGCCAAATCTAGGGACAAAGTCACTAATGCCCCGTTTTCACTAGTGCCACGTGTAGTGTCGGTACGGTTCAATATGGTTCCAAGCCATTTCCATTAGGCCAGAWTCTTGGAACCAGCCCGTTTTTAGTACCTACTTGGTTRTGGTTCCAAGCGGTCCCAGTCGACACCAAAATGCGACGTCAGAACACTGTTCGTCACTGATTGGCTAGGGGGCGGAGTCACTGGTTTCGTTTGAGCTGCCTTTACAACAACAACTCAAGGTGCCATTTTTTCATTTGTAGCAGTGACATTAGTTGTGTTTCCATCCAATTTTAATTCAAATTTTTTAGCGAATTTTTTAAATTTCAGAACTTGTTCGGCAAATGTGTTTCCATCTCTCATTTTGCGCATTAACTCTTTTTTRAAAAACCCAAAAACCACCTCCACTAACCGTCCAAAACACACCGACTGGAACGTCAATAGAAAAGCACCCAAACTGACCGTACTGACACTGACTGTACCGACACTACACTAAGTGGCACTGGTGGAAAAGGGGTATAATAAGTTGGCAACACTGGACAGAGGACCTAATGAACGTCATCATTTATCCAATATGCTTTGCTGCGTTAATAACATGGCACCGTCTGTGTATATATATATTTTTTATTTAAAAAAAATAAACAGTCTGCAGTATTTTTTACAGTCTTTGTTTTACAATGGAAGTTAATGTTTATCAGATAATGCCTAACATTACAACTAGTCGAGGTTCCATTTAAAACCTCTTTGTGTCACATGCTTATTCTCCCCTCGTTGTGTCTTTGGAGCAGCAGTCTGTTCATGCCAAAGAGGCCACAGAGGAGCTGGAGGTGGCCATTCTGAAGTCGTGCCAGAGCATCAACGACCTGAGGCGCGAGGTGAGACATATCATCCGAAAAGTTTCAGACCGGAACGTTTCCTCTGTCTCGCTTCCCACTTTTACATCCCTCCAGCTGTCAGCTCACTTCGTCACCTCAGCTCCTCTTTTCTGTCTTCTGCCCCTCTCTCAAAAATGCCACGACCAAATGCCTCCCTCGCGGTCATCTCTCTTTCACTTTAATCTTCAATTCCTCCCACAGCTCCATAAGGTCGCGGTGGGCCGCGCCTCCGACTTGCTGAAGGTTCACGGGGAGCATCTGCCTCTGAGGGCTCTCAAAGCGGCGGGCGCCGAGGGAAACCTGGAGGCCGTGGCAGAGTATTCGCGCACGCTCACCGAGCAGAAGGAGCAGCTGGTGGAGGTGGGTGAGGGCGGGGGGGCTTTCTGGGGCACTGGGAACAGAAAAGCCAGTACAAGGATGACTCAAAGTTTATTACTTGGATAAAAATTTGTAATTATGATCATATTTGTMTGAATAATTTACTTTATCTCCTCTGAATTGCCACCGTTGTTCCTGATGCAAAAGCTTAAATGTGGGAGGAGTTTAGTCAGACCTTGGCGATTTGATTTGTTCAGAATCAGAATACTTTATTGATACMCAGGGGGAAATTGCAATTATTACAGCTGCAACCATTCAAGTAAGCATTAGAGATAAAATACAAAGGAAGAAATATTAGAGCAGACTAGAAAAAAATAAGTATAAATACTCTGGAGAACCAAATGAACATAGAAAACAATAAGCATACTTTGACATCTATACAGTGTAAATAAAAAATACAGTRATATATTCTAAAGCTAAAAACAGTATGGCTGATGCAGAAGTCCCATCAGATATCATCAGATGATATAAGAATAGGTGATGATGTTCTATACTATTATAAAAATTGTGATTTTTAGGTCTGGAATTTTTAAATTACCCCAAATATATACTTTTTTTCCGTTTGTTTCCAGACATGCCGGCTGTTGTGTCATGTGTCGGGTACGGAGCCGTTGGAGATAACATGTATCCACGCTGAGGAGACCTTCCACGTCATTGGTCCCCAGGTAGCATAAATTGAATATCTGTTGTGAAAGTTGTTATTAAACACTTTTAACTGCACCCCACTGACTCGATGTGTGAGCTGCAGAAATGCAGCRATTGCTTGATGGGGTTGGAATCAGACAATTTTCTGTTTGATCGGCTCGCCCAGTGGTGAGCAAATCCAGCTCTCAAAACTCGGTTAATTTGAATCCATGTTTGTTCTTAGTTTTTTATGTTTCAAAATAAAACTGCATAAAGTTTTACAATCTAATCTGATTTTACAACCTAAATGTATAAATGGAAATCATCTGTAATGTTATTGGCAGTGGCTGCATTCCAACCCTATTCTGCATAACTTTTTGTTCACGGTAAAAKTATCAGCTCTCAACGAGATGTGTCGACTGTAAATAAGACAGTTATATTCATGTTGGGAAGCGTAATGCGCCAAGAGTTCAGGCCATGAGTTCTGGTTCCACCAGTGGGTCCCAAATGGTGTACTTTCAAARTATAAAGCTTGTCTTTGCTTTAACCACTAACATGAAAAAATAAATAAATAAAAAAGTGAAGCGTTTTTTAAATTTGCAGCTTTTTATTTTGTCTTGTTTTATTTTGAAACAGAAAAAAAAGAACAAACCATACATGGATTGTCTTTTTTTGGTACATAAGTTTGACTTGTAGCCCTTAAGTGTCTTAAAATAATCACAATTTAAAAAAAGAGAACAAAAACAGTAACTTTTTATGTTGTTTTTTGTTAGAAAACACAGAATTTTCAGTTCAACCAAATCTAGAATAACTAACTTTGATAAAAGTTATAGACAAAGAAAAAAAGCATCATAATTGGAAGGTCAGAGCTTTACAAACATTAGAAATCAGAATCGGCCTGAAAATCTGCAACTGGTGCATCTCACAAAAACRCCGGCTACATTTACCAGCTTTCCTTTAAATCAGCAAACTCTAACCAATCTCACAGGGATTGGTGAGCAAAACGTACGACAMGTAAAATCAAATTTATTTCTCATCTCCCGTCTCCTCTACCTGCCGTCCACTCAGAGCACGCTGCCCACCTCCATCTCCACCTAATTATATTTGCTCTTGAAAWCCATTTGTGACAGTAATTATCCAGCGGTGTAGAATGTTCCCGTCCCGCAGTGTTAAAGCCAGACCTCGTGTGACTCTGCAGTAATGACTCTGCTCTTAAGGTCAAAGGTCAGCCAATCAATAACAGTGCAGTACGTGTTGTTGTTAGTGATATCTCTCTGTTCCTGCCCGGGGGTAATGCAGCGGTGGCCCACGGGGTAATTGGCAATTAGATCCAACACTGCGGGAGAAGGATGTTCAGCATGTGYGCACACACTCATAACTGCGCTTCGATTTCATCTGTCTGTCAAGAGATCAGGCTTGATTGCAGATATAAATTGCAGCGCGTGTTTCAAACGTTTCCCTCCACCTCGCATTTGAACTGTCGAATCTGTTGGCGCAGATCATCTCGGCTGCCCAGACGCTGGCGCTCCACCCGTCCAGTAAGATCGCCAAGGAGAACCTGGAGGTGTTCTGCGAGGCCTGGGAGTCTCAGCTCTGCGACATGRCCCTGCTGCTCAAAGAGATCAACGACGTCTTCGAGGGACGACGAGGTGTGTCGAGGGTTTTTCATTGGGAATCYAAATACAGTGAACAAAACTGATTTAATCCAATTCCTGGTGACAGATTAGCTTTTAATTATCCTTTTCCTGCATGTTGGAAAACTAAACTAGCAGCCTCTCTACCAAATTGGCTGTTGCCTCCTGAGACGCTAGTCATCAGATCATAGTTGATGGTTTCTTAGATTCCGTTCATCCCGTTTTTTTTTTCTTTCTGAGCCCTGATAGAATAAAATTCTTTAATAAAGCAGAGATGAATCATTCTGTCCTTGAGATTTTTTTTTTCACAAGCTTTAATAGAAGTTAAAGTTGAAGCAAGGCGGCACATATCTTTTGGAAATTATTCATCACGTGGACCGTGGGAAGTATTTTTTTTTTATTTATTCGTTATTATTTTATTCTAAAAGAACAACCATCGTTGCCATTGAACACTCATGTTTTCATTCCTCCTCTTCTCTGGATTTGTTACTAAGGCAGTTATGTGAAATTTCCAAGTGATGTAATCATTAAAATTTAATTGATTGTATCTGTTCTGATGAAAACGGATTGCATGAGATGGTGACGTACATCAGGTAGAATAAATCTTTTTAGCTCTGTTGCGATGCAACATACATGTGTATATCATTTATTTTCTTTATCGTTTAACCTAAATTAAAAGAAATTGTTCATGATTTTGAAGGAAAACGTCTCAAAGTGAGCAATTCCCACTAAAAAGGTCATTGAAATATTTAGCTAGTATTACAATGAATGAGTGTGGTGATTGCAGGTTTTAACCTTGAGATAATCAGAGTAACTCTTTTCTCCTAGGCGACAAAAGACCCTATTTGTCACTTCCGAGACCCGGGGTGTGTATCACACTATCCATCCTCATAAATGTTTTACTGAAACAGTGGTTTGCAGTCTTGTGATGAAATCCCACTCTGTTTTTTCCTGTGTTTTTTCCTCAGAAACACTCAACTAACCTGAAGTCTGCCAAGGCTGTCAAGTTGGATGCAGAGGTAGCGTGAGCTGCTTGCTCATCTGGCTTTCAGCGCAATTAATCACCTCCCTTCTCGTGGCGTGTTCTGTCAGAGGAATATTCATCTCGAAGAAGCGTCGTGTCACCYTCTTATAAAATTGTTGGTGTAGTAATCTGTTGCAATTTTGCTTGGCTGCAGTTTWTTTATTTATTTATTTTTTCCCCCGCGCTCCGCCGCCGCAGGAAGCAGCGTTATGGTGATTAGAGGCTGTCTGAGTGTGCAAACAAGTGAAAAGAAGCTTGTTTTGCTCATTTGCATTTCCAGAATAACATCCATTATGCGTCTCCCTTTGTGCGTCCCTGTGGGTGCAGGAGCAGACGAGCATGGCCAAGCTGGGGCTGGAGCTGCGCCTGCTGTCGTCGGACGTGGACTCAGAGGTGGAGAAGTGGGAGGAGCAGGAGCACGACATCGTCCGGCAGAGCCAGAGCATCGCCAGCATGACGTACAACATGTACCTGTTCACCAGGTAGCCTGCTGTAGGGATGTTCCATACCTACGGTTTTCTTTCAGATTCTGATACAGAGTAAAACTCAGACAGGTATCGCAGACATTGATCCGATTCTGATACTTAATGCAAATACACTGGATGTGTCTGGTAAACCTTTTAAAAAGTAGTTTTTAAAATTGCAGCATTATAAATTATAAGACATCAGAGTAGTGTTGTAGTCAAGACCACCTAACCCAAGACTAGAGTGTATCGAGACGGAGAAAAGACCAAACCTTTTAGGGGTTGCACCAAGTCAAGACCAGAAAAAAATGCCCTAAAATACTCAGGGTACTGTAGACAAGTAGCTACAGGTAATTTAATATGAATAAATAATACTGATTAGGGCCAGGTAAACAAGGTTGCTGTGGATCCTTAAAGTATTAAAAGGCATTGAATTTTTCAATCCAAAATTAAGGCCTTAATTAGCCTTAAAATGTTTTAAATCAGTCTTTCATAGGTCTTAAAAATGTTAACACATTTTACGTAGGATGACTAATTCATCTCAAATATTAAAATAATTGGTAACGTTTATTTGTTTTTAAAATAATTGACTGAATGCCTCTTACAGCTCATTTTGTTTTAAAATAAACTTTTGGCTAAAATTGTTGCTAACTGGGGTTTTTTCCGTTTGTGTTTATTGTGAAGTTGGTCTTAAATTTAATTTCAAGTGACATTAATTAGGTCTTAAAATGTCTTAAATTTTACTTGCCTTAAGCTGTAGGAACCGTGGTAAAGAATTTTTGTACAGAGGCAGATTGCTAACGTTAGCTAGCTAGCTTTGCTAACATAGCTTATATTTCTTTGTGCCCGATCTGTCCCAGAAGCACGATCCGTACCGTTTGTTTTTAGCATGTAGCATTTTGCTAGACTGATGACAGAATTCATTTGATTTCAGTCTTTCATCACCTGCAATGTTTCATAGAAAAGGCAACATTTGCAACAGATATGGATTTTTATTCTAGGAAAAAAAATAAAACAAAGATAAGATGAATTATAACATGAAAGTCTAGGAAATAGTCGGCAAGTTATTATAAATACATACATACACAGCGTAAATCTATTATTACTACTACTATCTTTTATTCATCAAAATGTTTACAATAATAAAACTGTTTTCAGAATATAATTTAACACACCTTTATAAGTAAATATGGAAATAATTATTTTCAGTATTTTTTCCTAAATCACATTCCAGAACTGTATCATTTAGCGCGTGCGCAAATGAGCTAACCATACGGATCGTGCTTCCGGGACRGATTGGGCAGCCACAGAGCTTCCTTTCTAAGTGACAATAAAAGTTTGATGTAATCCTCACCATGAATAATAAAACCAATAAAATTGTTTTTTGTTTATCAAGAACTACTATAAAAAAACTTGCATTTTGATTTGCATTACAAGAACATAACATGAAAATACTGCCGTTCTTCTACACTTACTCACTACCCAGGCARAACAAAAAAGTAGTTCTCACCAACCGTGTGTCTTTTAGGCAAAATTTCAGTAGTTTACTTCATTTCCACTGTGTTCCATTTAACGATATACATTACCTGAAATGACTGAAGTATCAAAGTATCAATATTTTGATTTTAGTACTGATTTTAGAGCATTAAGTTCTGGTATCGGTGGTATCTGTCACCAGCCTGCTGAACCTTCTTCACGTCAAACCCTCTAAGCCACCGAYAGCTGTTGATATTTACAAGACAAACATCCAGGTTGACACGATGTTGAGTCACGTTGACATTCTGATTGTTGTTTACAGTTTTGATGATTGCCATAGCTGTTTGTGTTTCTAATCAGTGTCTCTATTATTTTTCCCATCGATTCCTCAGAGGAGAAGGCTTATTGAAGACGACTGTAGATCTTTTTCATCAGGCTGAGGTATCAACATCCACTCTCCTCCTCTTGTTCTTTTTTTCCCCCTTCAGTTTTATTAAAGCCGTAGATGAATGCATGTGCTGTTTCATTAAATCAAAAATAGACCGATGCTTGCAAATCGATAGGGTTGTAAACGCACTCATTCGGTGATTCATTAATTCTCTGCAGATTTGACAGATTCTGACAAAAATGTTATAAATGAGCTGGAAACATGGCGTTGCCATCTCAGGAGTGATGAGGTTGTGTGAAGGGGTGTAAACTATTGAACTGAGATTATTGCCACTAATGTGGAGTCATTTGGAGGAACCCAATGAGTCAGCCAAGATTTATTCAGTTTGAATGATAAGAAATAAGAGAGATGGATAAGAGCCAAAGAGATGCTTATGCTTAGTGACTATTTTTAATGTAGTGCTTCTTAGTTAAAATATAAACGTATCTTTTTTTTGTATTTATCTACAAGTTATTTTCATTTGTTTGTCGTTTGGAAGGTTCTGTCTGAAGAGGGACTCCATCTTTGCTCATCTCTTCGCACTTTTTCTACTCAGGTAAATTAAAGCCCATCAGGAAACAACACCACATCCCATTGTTCCGATTACAAAATAAAAGTAGTCATTAAAATTCGTAAAAAAGAGAAAAAAAATCACATTTCTTCTAATGGTCTGAAAACATCAGTTTTCTCTGTTCTCTATGACATTTTCTAAACTGTTATGTCACAGTAGTTGTGACTGACGGGGGCAGATACAAAGTGCCTTGTTTGGATTTAAAGAGRCAGCRTCAAAGCGAGTTGATCAGAMACACCTCCGAAAAGGGGTGRAAAGAGGGGCTTGTGGAGCTACAATAAGGAGGAAATCAAACCAAAGCATTGCAGTTCCACTTTATATAGACCCCAACTGAATGATTTAAATATTTTAAAAAGGATTAAAATGCATGAAGTGCAGTTTTAACTTAGTAATACTCCCACACACTTCTGTACCAGAATTTAAAWCACTCCCTTATAGATTTCAATTGTGAAGTTAATAGTGGTGGCAATACAGCCTCAAGGTTATATCTTAATACTAATATTTAAATATATATTTATGGTGATTAAATAAAAAAAGGAACATTTTRTTTCTGATTAAAGCTTACAGGCAGCATTTATTACCACAAACAAGTTGTTGTGCCTTAGGGATTGTACGCCCGTTGTGTTGTCATTCTTACACATTTATGATGCAAAAGTTGTACAGACATTATCGTGGAAGTTATTTGCAAAGCCGTTTTATTTTCCTTTTGGTGACAGTAAGCCCCCCCTCACTTATTTTGGCACACAGAAACAGACTGGCACCTGTGTCAGCACCTTTATCTCCTTCTCACATCCATATCACCCATTCTGACACGTCTGCTGCTGCCTATAAATCACTCAGCCGGAGCAGGAAATTAAGGCTGTCACACACCTCTTTTCCTCTCCAGAGCTGAGATCTAACAAACAAACAAACACGACCTCGTGTGCCTTTCTTCCTTCCTCTTGCTCTCGGACCAACTCCATCCCCAGGTTCTGGGAGTGAAATTAAATGACTCTTTTTTGAGAGCCTTTAAYGACCACCATTACTCACTGYTGGAGAAGTGTATGTTKTTKTTTTTTTTGTCCACWCGTGAAGAAGGGATTGGTGTCTTTGACTGAATCTGCTCAGAATTAAAATCCRTGGCTTTTCAACCTGCCTTGTACTTTCTGATTAATTACATCAATCAAGCTGGTGCTAATGCATCACCTGCACTCTGATTTAGCACCAAACATGTTGGCAGCACACCTCTGTTATCCTCGTTGAAAAGTCAAATGACACGCAGCCCTGGTTTAAAAAAAATGTTTTGATTTTAGGTTATTGGTGGCAGTAAATAAAGTAGATTATTGGTGTCTCTGGCTGATATTTTCAGGATTGTCTCCACTGGTTTAACAGACTTAAGGAGGAATTCACTGACAAGGAAACGTTCTTCTTGTGTTTATTTGATGATGCTGATTAATCTTAGGAGAGCTGTAATACTAGTGCAGTGAACCTGTCCAGGTTTGCACACGTTACCCCTGCCTGCATGTAAAAAAAAACCTTCCGTCTTTCCAGCTGGTTGATGAGGAGAAGTCTGTGCTGCTGACAGAAATGGAGAAGCTGGTGGGGCTGTGCCAACAGCTGCAGATGGGGGCCAAGACTCCTGTACAGGGCAAGACTGCCACCTTCCAGAAGGTACCCACACTGCACCTGTTTGTGTTGACCGTATGCATTGAAAAGCTGCCACCGGTGGCTTGTTTTTGCCCATCATTTGATCGATTTGTGCTCATTAGGTTTGTGAGCAGGGCAGGTTTACAGCAACTACTTTTCTCACACAGCTTTTAGCTTTAAACGCATGAAGAATAAAGCCCCAACAAGATATTTCCGTGTCGCACCGAGCACACTAAAGAGCTCAGCTGAGTGTGCGTTTGGCTCTGTGTTTGAGTGATCTGTAAGTAAACAGCAACATCTAACAGAGTGTTCCACTAATGGACGGCTATGAGGAGTTAAGGAGTATCTGGGGCACTGATGAGTTTCCTGAAAACGGTGCGTCACAAAAGGCGAAGGTTTGAATCAGAAAGGAACGGGTGAAGAGTAGCTCGTCCTCCRCTGATTAATGACTCCCTCCTGCTTCATTTAACACCAACTGTGGAGGCTTTGTCTCTTAGTTACAGGTCAGGCTTTTCTTAAAATGGATTGGTTTATAAAATGCCTTTTTTTTCTATTTTCTACAGTGGAAAAATATAAATCTGAAACGATTCTGGTGCACGTGAAGGTTAGGATGCAGGTTTTTTCCCAGTCAACAAAATGAGCTGCATTGCTTTTCTTGCAGCTGATTTTAAAGTGCCTGTGACATGCCTATTCTTCAAATACAAAACAATCAAAGAAAACATCTTTATACTTCAGAAAATTGGCATGGTGAAGTTTATTTTACCCATTTTTGTCACATAACTGGCCTATTTTCTTTTGAATTTGGCTCTGCCAAAGTGAAACAGGAAGTGACATCAAAGGGGAATTAATTAATCATTAGTAAAATAAACTCTTTTTTTATTTATTAAAACAAAATTACTTAAACTTTAACTCTGCGTCATCTCTTTGAAAGCGACTCAAAAAAATCTAAAGAAACATCAGATTCTTCTCTACAGTCTGTGTTGTAAC